CTCTTCAACCTCTCATAAAGCAGTCCAGGCCAATCAAGCTCCCAGTCAACCTAACCGAAGAACCACCAACTCTTATCAACATACTTTAATAAAAAACACAACTAAACACAACACGAAACAATAACTTTCATCAAACCACTCGTGTTTCCACAAAAGTCACTCAACTGCACAATGGATTCTTGACCCTGGAAATGCTTCCTGACGAAATCTCATAATTTTCACTTCATTCCTGGAATACTCTGTCCTGGTCTCGAGCGGGAGCGGCTTACAGCCTCAAGACTCTTGAACTGGAGGAAGTGAAGACACACCTGTTACTAGTTGCAGTTGGGTGGATGCCTGTGTAACGTCGCCTACATTTTGCTATATATGTAGGACTCGTACTGACGCGACAGCTTCTTTGTCTTTCTTGGTTCTTTATTAACGCGTATAGTTCACATCTCTGTCGGCATCACTCAATGTCCCTCCGTACTCTTCAACTCACAACTCCCAATCAACATCACTCAATGTCCCTCCATTCGCTCGCTCCACTGGCTTCGCTCGCTCTCCCTCTGCTCCTCTCCTCCAGCGACCCTCCTCTCTGCTCTCTCTCTCTCTCCAGCTCGGTCGCTCTTTGTTCTCTCTGCCGTCCCACTCTGTCGTAGCTTTCTCCACCAAGGTCCGTTACTCCGCTGCTCTCCTATACTGTACTCGCTCCATCCACTGCTACTCTATCTGTATTCTCTTTATCCGCTGCTACCATACTCTGTATTCTCTTTGTCCACTGCTACCTTATACTATACTCTCTTTGTCCACTGCTACCTTATACTATAATCTCTTTGTCCACTGCTACCTTATACTATACTCTCTTGTCTGCTGCTCCGTCTCTTCCTCTGTCCGTCTCTCGTCCCAGGCACCAAGCAACCCCCGTTTCTCCCCACGCTCCTTCCCTTTATCCTTGAACCAATTCCCCTTAATTAATTGGACCATCCCCCGCTTCGCTACTCGCCCCCAGCCTCCAGCCTCACGTGGTGTTGTTGTTGTAGACACCGTGGTGCCAATTCCCGACACCCATACCTCTCGTCCAATCACCGGCCTGCGTCCTCGATTACCCCCGGCCACCTGCAGGCCCCCCTTAATTACCATGCCACCTTAATTGGTACAACAACAACAGTATGTTGCTCCGCTCCCTGTGTCCGCCGCGTGCCCGTATCTCAATCCAACGCGTGACGCATGTTTCTCAAGTCCTATATCACCCCCCCCCCCCCCATGTTTAAAGAGTTAGCCGTCCCGGCTAAACACAACGCATCACGCGACAATACACAATAACCCAACACAATGTACACGATCCCCCCTTGAATACGACAACCAACGTCCATGTCATGCAATGTTTATGAAAAAGTCACTCTTCTGGAGCGGGTTCCCGCAGCCGGTCCATCACCCCGGCTCGGGAGAATAGGGGGCAGGAAATATCTCTCCATGGGCGCGGGGCAGCGTCCTGCCTGAAACGTGCGCCCTGCTTCGTTGCACCGGCCATTCCCCGACGAGACACCGACGCGGTCGCATGTGTCCCGGGGTGGCCCCTGAATCAGAAGTGGCGATCCTGCAGACACACGGGGGGTAAACTGCTGAGGTGCGTTCTCCTGTCGCCGCACAGTACGCTCGTCGGACACATCCAATACAGGCCGTTCCAGGATAGGAGATGACGCATCATAAGGTACCACATATCTCTTCAAGCGCGACGGGTGAACATGCCGCATTCGGCGACCGTATTGAATCCTCACACTCTGATCCCGGCGAACTTCCACAATCTCAATGGGACCCTGCCAGGGCCGATTGAATTTCGGTGACGTGCCTACCGGCACCATCGGACAATGTAACCAGGCCCTGTCCCCCACCTGCCATGGCTCCCGTGGAGGCTGCGTACCGTGTAGGCGCTCATTAGCCGCCTACCTTCGTTCCGAATTTCCCAGTGAGGCCTCCCTAGCCTTTTTTAGACGATCCAATGCCTCAAGCATGGGGACAGGCATGGCTGACGACTTCCCTTTAGTTTTTACCCCCAGCTTGACCAGGGCCGGGGCTTCCGGTTCACGACCATACATCAAATAGAAGGGTGAATACCCTGTCGAGGCATGTGGGGCTAATCTATAAGCGGCCAAGGCCGCCGGAACATGTAGACCCCAATCTGTCTGAACCAAATTAACCTGTTGGCACAACATAGACGTCAATGTTTGATGAAAACGCTCAACCATCAACCGTGATGATGGGTACAAACTGAGTAATCATTGGAAAGATGTGATTAACCATGCAAAAAAAATTTAACTACACATATTTGGACCATCTTATTTGACAGACAACTATTCTTGAGTTACTGTACAGTTTACTGACAGACAGCCAGTTTTGTTTTACCATGTTTAGCTTCTTTTTCACACACTGGTTATGCCCAATCCCCAAATGCGAATAAAACCTCACAGCGATATACTTTGCTGCTCCTGACATGGTTGTCTGGCTTGACTACCTGAATGTGAAATTGTAGTTGTTGCTGTGCATCTACATCAGTCATATGAAGTAACAAGATGTAATGCGAGCGTAAATGGGAAGGCCGGATGTGACGATCCGAGAGGGAGGAGTCAGGGTCACGTGGGTGAGAGGTTATAGGAGGGAGCCCGGAAGAGATCTCGGCAGTCGAGGGAGTGAAGAGGGGAGACCACGTCAGGTGGCCGCCGTGCAATCAGCCGTGAGGCTGATAGGGCTTGGCACACCGCCAGCTAGCGGTGTGCGGAGAGAGAGCGGAGTGTGCGGGCGCACAGGGCGTGCGAGGTTGCACGGGGCTAGCAGAGTGGCTAGCTGGACCGTGCGGGTTGCACGGGGCTAGCGGAGGGCTAGCAGAGGGTGCGAGCTTGCACGAGCAGTAGAGTGGCTGCAGAGTGTGCGGGAGCACACGGAGAGGCGGGGTGGCTGCAGAGTGCGCGGGGCACGAGGAGAGACGACGCTGGGCCGAGGAGGAGGCCAGCGGGGTGCGGAGGAGAAGAACATCAATAAAGGACCAACGGAGAGTGACATCGTGTGAAGGAGTCCTTTATTACAAAGAAAAAAAAATCCCAGAAATGTTGGCTCGGAACGCAACCGCTGGTTTTAACATTATGTATACGGGAAATTAGAGTTTACTTTAAAACAATTCGAGTGCAGAAGCATTTCCCTGGAACTCTTCCCTTACAGAAGGGGGTTTTGGGTGGAGGCAGTTCCTGCACTTTACATTGACCGAGTAGATATTTTGCACTTTATGTGTGACATTAGATGGATACTGTGAGGACACAATGCCACTGCAACATTTACATGTGTCTTGACTCGTCCATTGTGTGGAAAAGAGGTATAAGTCAGCTTCGATGCCGTTTATATTTACTCGCTGTCATAATAAGCGGAGATTAACTTCTATATTGGTGGGAGGGTTGGTACAGGGGTTCGCTTTGTCCCTCATATTAGGAATCGTGGATGCATATAATTATTTTTTTTATTATCTTAATTGTACACAACCGAAAATAAATTATAAAGGTGCCCAGTTTGGGGGGGGGGCGTTGCGCTCCGGTGCCCCCCCTCCTCACAATGCAAACTACCCCCATGGCCAGAGCTGCACTGATTGCGTGAGTTGCCATATAGGGGAGCTGCACTGATTGATTGGGTTGAGTGGCTTACCATTGGGGAGGTGCACTGATTGAGTGGCATTGCCATAGGGAAGCTGCACTGATTGAGTGGCATTGCCATAGGGGAGCTGCGCTGATTCTCCTCAGACCATCGTCGTGATGCCACAGAATTAGCGTGAACACGGGGATGAGTGAAGTTGGGCGGCTTGCCAAGTTTACCTTCACGGCCATTCGCCGAGTTGCGAGGACGTGGTCCTCTCGCTGCGCTGCCGATCACGGAAGGGCCCCGGGCCAGCGCTCCTGCTTGCCCACGGGGGCCACGGCAATGCGGGCGATCGCGTCTCGTCGTCACGAACCCCATCGTTGGCAAGGGGGGAATACGCAGAACGGCCAAGAGAAGCTCCTTAAGACGGCCCCGTCTCCAGGTAATCAGCATTAGTTATTTAAAGTGCGCACTCCCGCGAGGTTTGTTAGAGACTAACTCCCTGCCCTATTTGTAAAAGAAAAAAAAACACCATCAGGTGCACATGCAGGACAAGATAATTGGATCTTTAGGTCAAATGCATGCAGCATTAATTCTTACAATGACGACGGATTAAGACGGCTGCACAGCACCGATGCATAGCTGGCCTTGGTAGACATCTACATACTTTTTGTTTGCATGTGTATGCCATGTAATGAAAATTGAGCAACAAATAAGATATATATATGTATCTCGCCACGGTGGCGAGATGTTAACTTCCTCGCCTGGTATGCAGGAGATCTTGGGTTCGATTCCGAACCTGACGACTCTATATTTGGAGTTTGCGTGTTCTCCCTGTGGTCGCGTGGGGTTTTCTCCAGGTCCTCCGGTTTTACAATCCACATTTAGAATCAACATGCATTGAGAGTATTTGGCTATTATAAATTTCCACATGATTGGCCACTTTGTTGAGCTATCATTTGTGGCCAGGCCGCATCTGAAAAAGAGCTATGTAGCTTAGTGGTCCTTACCTGGTAAGAAAGTGTCTTTTAAAGTGCCTTGGGATATAAAGATATATTTGGTGTTGAATAAGCCAATGTTATCAGTAGGATGTGACGCAGAGTCAACTGCCAATTATACCCGCATATTATAATAATAATTGAGACATATAATAAAAGAGTTTCCACTTCGCGGTATTGCTGTCGTCGAGAAAGTGATTGGTTCATTCTCTCTCTCTCACTCTCGCCGTACGTTTGATGGGAGGGCGTCAGACCCACGACCGTCCCTCTTGCCAATGCAATGCCAACTTCTCCACCCACCAGCCACGCCCCGCGCCACCCTCGCCCACCCGAAGCCACGTGACCACCCCCATGCAATATATAAAGTCAGTGCCAAGGAAAAATTCACAGGGTGCCCGGTAAGGGAAACTTAACACCAAGGTAAGAGGAGCTCACTGGAGGCGCGACCATGCAGCTTTGTCGGTTATTTGGGAGGATTTGGGTGAGCACTCTGTATTAAGACAATCATCACTGTTCTAGCTTTTGGATTTAAAACTTAATTCAAAACGATGCAGCATTTAGGCTATGGTATTTAGCATTGTTTTTGTTGCTGTCATAAAGAAATAACTATTGCAATAATCGCGACACAAATACATGCTACATCATAGTTTTACGTTTTTGATTATTGACAACAATAATAACAACACATAATTAGGCAAATGTTTTTTTAACAGTTTCATAGTTCCAATGTACCATGCAAAACGAGTGCCTGCTTCTCGGCGATCGTGTCACATACGACATTTCAATGTTAACTCCATGTAGAGTTTCGTGACCCTGGCGTTCTTTACGTCAACATGCGGTCACCGTTTAGCAAAAAAAATAACGATTTGTATAGCTGTCGTTCTGCTTCCTACGGTGGCATGACGACTATTTTTGCAAAAGCTTTGGCGATTTAAGCTTGGCGGTTTGTAGACTGTCATACTCGCCTTGCAGGAAACCGAATTGCCTGGTGCTCCAGTTGCATGTGGCAGGAATGCGCCGAAGACTGTTGAACTGGGTCAGATGCATTAGGATTATTATTTTTGCCTGCTGATATGCTGACGTGTTGAGGTAAATCGTTCCAAAATAAAGATAGTGCGGGAGGTTGTTATGAGGAGGTTAAGAGTTATCTTGGAGTTTGTAGGACAGGATTTTGAAGGGCAACAGAAACATTTTGCAAGTATAATATCGTACGACATGCTATTGCATGGCTTGGATCTGCCAAGAAAAAAACAGCGGTGCTCCATTAACTGCTGCAGAACAGCAACTCGTCGATTCTCTAATTAGTCTTGGCCAGTAATAATTTGTTTGGCATATCACTTCAACGTTATCAAAATCAATTGAGTGTCCTTGTTGTCAAGCATGTTGTGCCACTGCCGACAGTTGTGTTTGAGATAATTTAATGTTTATTTCGTGTTCTTTTAGTCTTACGCTAATGGTACGTCCCATCTGTCCAATATAGCATTTACTGCATAAGCAATTGATCCTAATATACACCTTCTGTTAATAACTTAGGTAATTCATATTTAGTACGAAACACTAGTTTTTGATTTTTGTGTACCGTACCAAATCTTACTTTCATGTTTTGTTTTTGTAAAACACGGGCAAATTTGTCAGTTATTCCTCAGATATATGGTATTTTAATTGTTTTTATAATCTGATCACTTTCAGCAGTTTCGTATTGTAGCCATTCAGGGAGGAGTATGCACTAGGAGCATTCGCACGGTTGGCTATGTACGGTGTGAAAATAAGTTCGACATACTTGGATGTGTAGGCGCAGAGTGATCGATAGCGTCAATGAGTGATTGCTAAATCGAAAAGAAGCAAGTGAGAAAGCTATCCAGAATGAGTAGAGAGAAGACGATCTTTAAGAACACACAGTACAGCTGATTATGTCGAATGATGTTCCTGAATACTAGATTATACCGTATCATGAAGACCATTTTGAAGAAAATAGTTAAGTGGGGTGTGAGACAGGACAAGGCGAGTTGGATTATTTGCCACAAGTGAGGATTCTATTTTCTTCTGACCACTGATTGCCATTTTGGCCCGTAGGTCGTGCGTTAGGTTAGTGACCTAATAATTATACGGCTCAGCCCCTTGTTTAAGTTATTCCTTTGTTTCCACCTAAGCCGTATCCTTGTCTTTTGAACCTTTCCGCTGTGTCCTAAGTAATCTGCTGTTCGCTAAATTCCTTCTTCTGCTAAAGAAATTCACGTCCAATTTTGTCACTAATTTTAATATTTACGCTTATGACACATGACTTGACATTACTCTTAGCCAGGCTGGTCCCGGTACCCTATCCACTCCCTCTATCTGCCCCACATCCTTGGAGTCGTTCTGGATTCGGCGCTGTCATTTTCTCACCATATCTACTTTATTTGCACAGGATATTGTGGATTCTGAAACTCTCTTACTCAATGATGCTGCTGAAAAAGTTTTTTGTGCGCGTGTAACCTCCACACTTTACAAACTGCGATTCTCTCGAATGCAGTCTTTCTGAGTTTCATGGTCAGCGGACTGAGCACGTCCCACATGCTCGCGCAAGGACGCTTCCTTGTAATGCGCAAACGCGGTCGGGTTACCCCCCATTGCACATCGCGTCAGCCGCCTTCCCATCCACTCTCGAGTCAGCCTGTAGATGGCACTTATTGTTTTCAAATCGTTGCGTGCGATTTACCCTTGCTTGCATTTCCCCTCTCATTTCTGTCTGCAACAAATTCCGAGTCCTTCACTCATCCAGCCTAAAGGCGTCGTTTTTTTTTACCTCCATTCTGGTCCGTGCTCCCCTGCTCTCTTCATCAGGGTCGCCGCGGTGGAGAGATGTTAACTACCTCGCCTGGCATGCAGGAGAGTGTGGGTTCGATCCTGACCCTGACGCTTGCTGTATATTTGAATATAAGTTTTTTGGGTTAGATGGCGGTTTTTGGGTTACGCGATCTAATCCAAAAAAAAATATTACGGATAATATTGGGCGTAAAAGCGACCTGGCCACAAATGATAGCTCAATGAAGTTGCTTATCATCATGTGGAAATATATAGCAGTCAAATACGCACGTTGATTCTAAATGTGGAGGAAAATACCGGATGACCTGGAGAAAAATCCACGCGACCACAGGGAGAAAAACACCGCTGCAGGCGCTCGGTTTGGGATCAAACCCGCGACCTCTTGCACAGCAGGTGAGGGAGTTAACATTTTGCCACCGCAGATCCCACCTCCGGCGACTCGATGATCACCATTCGTGACCACGATTCAGTTACTAAAGAAGTGCCCGGCACGTAGAGCGAAACGTCGGACAACACGTGGCACAACCTCAAAAGTTTATCAGCAGAGATGATTAATAGGAACTGTTTGACCTTCAATGAAGCGGGCGGTTTATTTTTTTCAAAGAGTTAAATGTCCTGACGCTCAAGATCTGTAATTGTGTGTGATGGTCAATAGAAATGCCCCGGGTTTGACGGGTAACAACAGCGCACCGCGTGACACGGCACTTGTCTATGATGTGCCTAGCAACTGTTTCATTCACTTGCATTTTTTTACTTAAACTTTCGTGACTGCAGGAAGTCATATTCTTTGTTCTTTCGGTAAAGTCACGTACATAGAAAAAAAAGCAAAACTTACGACGTTACACTTCTATTTTATTTATTATTTTATTATTATTTTGTTTTCTATCTACGTGACTTTACCGAAATAAACCAGAATATAAATTCCTGCAGTCACGAAAGTTTTAAGTCTACGGGTAGGGTTTCCGAGACAAGAAAGCTCATTTGATCAAGTCACTCACAAATCTGTAGAGATGCCGCGACTCTAAGGTAATACCGACCTCATTCACACTGACCTCTGCTGCTGTCACATCTTCCAATGCCAAACTAATTTTGTTCAGAGCTAGCTTGGCCCTGATCTCTGGGAGAATTAGACTGCTCCGCACTGAACTGGACCATGTAGACAAAATACTCTTGAAATATTAACAGAAAAAATGTCTCCGTCTGATTGGGAACATGAAGATAACATGACTGCTTCAACAGCCGCTACAATGTCAGATAAATGTAAAGAAAATCAGATTTCCAAATTCAACCTCCTTTCCAAGAAGAAACCAGATCCACACATTAAAAAGTTAAATGTTGACAAGGTTGTTATTAATCTGAATAATATCCCAATTTCCGATGGTTTAAAGTCGATTTTGGTGAAAGGATTGAACTTCGCAGTCACCCCCAAACACATACCAGTGGATGCTATTATTGCTCAGGTCGATGTAGCTCTTAAGGGTTTGGAACACATCACTGCAGGCGTGACAAGATCTAAAATCGCTGCAACCCTCAAAAGTGCTAAGATACCAGTCAGCAACATCAGTAATGATGAGCGTTTTGAGTTATCTCAATTAAAAAAGAGGGAAGATATCGTCATCATCTCAGCCAACAAGGGCAATGGCATGGCTCATCATAGACAAAAGTGTGTACAATAACAAAATTCAGGACCTACTTAATGAACAAAAATTTAAAGAGATCCCACCAACTGCCTCGTTACAAAAACGAACAGTATCATCACTGATTCAGCTACATTAATTGAACAGACCAAACGGTTTTCCTTAAAATCTTCTGCTGCTACACCACCCAGACTATATGGCTTACCAAAAATCCATAAAGAAGATATACCCCTTCGTCCCATCGTCACCACCATTGGCTCACCCACCTACAGACTGGCCCGATATCTGTCTGAGACCTTACAGCCATTCACTGGTTCTTAACTCAGCTCACCTGATATCGCCAATTGAAGGTGTCAGTTTTGTTGCCAGATAAAAGGGTACAAAACCAATTATCATTGGAAAGATGTCATCAACCACTTTAGGTCATGACTTGATTTGTGTTTTCTTGTCAACCTCTACCTTCAGCAGTGTGGATGTGTGTAGCGAGGTGCAATGACCCCCCCCCCCACCATCTCTACCCCCCTCTCCCCCTATCTCTACCCCCTTCCTCTCCCCCCATTGTCTCTCTGCCCATGCTGTGTACGCACAGTCCTCCTCCCAACTCCCCCATTGTCTACTCCTATATTAGCACTGGTTGACTGGCTGCCCCAACCATGCTGTTTACACTGCACAAGCTCTCTTCCCCCCAACTCTCGTCCCCCACCCACTCACTTTGGAAACCCTTCTAAGCAGTTGCATTTGGAGGCTTGCCCTCTTTTCTCTCCGCCTGATGAAGACTGCTTGCTTTCATTTAATTATTTGTATTACATTTTTAATCAAATCTTGTTATTTATATTTTCGATCTACGTGAATTTACTGAAATAATCAAGAATATGTATTTTTTTGCTTTTGCCAGGGTATTAAAGCAGTGAAAAACGGGGGGTTCGTTCCACCATGCTGTTCGCCCAGGAGCAAAAAGCAAACGACAACGACATGAACAACGGCAGCTCCCTCTTCCTCCTGTCCACATTTGAGCTCCCGTCCGCCATACAGATGCTCATATTCCTGCCCACGTATACGGCGGCCGTCCTCGCCAACCTGCTGCTCATCGCCACCGTGGCGCTGTGCGCGGAGCTGCACAAGCCCATGTACGTCTTCCTGTGCAACCTCGCAGTCGGCGACATCATCGGCTGCACGAGCTTCGTGCCCATGCAGCTGCACATCCTCCTGACGGGCGACAGGCGCATCCCGTTCGCATCCTGCGTCACGCAGATGTTCTGGATCAACGTTTTTGTGAGCAACGAGTTCCTCACGTTGGCCGTGATGGCGTTGGACCGCTATGCGGCCATCTGCTATCCGCTGCGCTACCACGCCATCATCACGACGAATCGGTCCTTTGCCGCGCTGCTGCTCATGTGGACGATTTGTGTCGCCATTCAACTGGTCATCCATCTCCTCATCATGCGTCTGACGGTGTGGGTACCCATTGGCCAACTGCAGGGCATGTTCTGCGACCACGGAAGTCTGCTCAAGCTCTCCGTCTCCAACACCCGTGTCAACGAAGTGTGCGGTCTGGTGGGCGTCGTGTTAACGGTGGTGGCACCACTCTGCGTGATGGCCTTCACCTACTGGGGCATCCTGCGGCAGTGCGTCAGGATGAATTCGAAGGATTTTAACAGGAAGGCACTCTACACCCTCATAACGCACTTCTCGGCACTCGTCGTCTGCTCTTCGGTGGTGTTCACCTTGGTGCTGGTCCCGCGCTTGGTCGGAGACTCGCAGAATGCCTTTGTGAGGACCGTGACCTTGTCCGTTCAATTCCCCATCATTGTCGTGCCGATTGCAAATGTACTCATTTATTTCTTTCGGACCAAAGAATTGAGGCAAGCGTCCATCAAATACTGTCAAAAGTTAGTTCTTGGATCAGTCGCATCTTTCACGTCTCGCAAGGTCTGCGTCAATGGGAACTAAACACTGTCAACTGACAGCACGTGTATACCAAACCAAAATTAAACTTTTCATTTTATTTTACCCACTATGGCCCACTGGGATATTTAGTTATTTTTCAGAAGCGACCTGGCCATTACAAATGACAGCTCAACCAAGTGGCTTATCGTGTGGAAATGTATAATAGCAGCCAAATACTCTGATGTGATGTTGATTCGAAATGTGGAGGGGAAAACCGGAGGACCCGGAGAAAAATCTATAAGACCACGGATAGAACATGCAAAAAACTCCAAATACACAGACATCAGGATCAGGATAGAACCCACGACCTCCTCTATACCAGGCGAGGTAGTTAACATCTCGCCAAATATTAAACGTAACGATATCAATTGAGTCATATGTTCGTATTATTTTCTGAGGGATGCAACAGAGGTATCAAAGTCTCGTCCTCCACACGTTGACGGTAGCTGTGTGAATGCGCGTGTGTGTTTGTATGTATGTGTGTGCGTCAATGATGGAGGAGGAGCGGTAGTGTAGCGGTTAGTGCGCTGCACTATGAACCCGGTGTCCCAAGTTCGCTCACGGCCAAGACCAGTGATGATTATCTGAACCGGTCCTGGACGTCCCCTAGGTCGAGTTAGCCTCAAATGAGTACCTAGTGCGATGTATAACATTGCTACTAGGGAGACAAAGGCGGCCGGGCGTGGTGTTGGCCACCTACCTCCTCGTTTGCCGTTCAGGCCTTCATAGGTGCTTGCTAACAACACTTGCCCCTCCAGTCTGTTAAGGCTATACGGGGGATCTTTGTCCTGTCTGTCAACGACGTAGCCTCGAAGTGCACATGGCCTGGCACAAGCGCCGTGGTGACGTCACCCCCCTCCCCCCATTCGTGACGAACGGCGGCTTTTGTTGTTGTTGTTGCCAATTACCTCATTAAACCACGGGTTTCTCACGTCTCCCCGTCAATTCTCCAGCATGGCTGACGCAATTCTGTCATTGTGACGCACACGCGACACGGCCACCGTGATGGAAAATCTCTGACGCGGGAGCCAGCGTTTGGACGAAGGGTCACGACCCCTTGGGTGCCGAACTCACCCCTCGTCACGAACTCACCCCTCGTGATATTCCAAACGGAGATGTATTTCCTGCACAGAAGAATCCGCAGTGGACTAAGTTATTTTCTCCACTCGCGATGTTTTCATCGCTGACACAGGACATATATTCTGTGTGTGCGTGTCCGGGTTTGGACCACTACACTACCGCTAACATTACCGGTGGGAGAGGTAGTTGTTGCAGTTAGCGCGCTGCGCTTTGAAACCAGCGAACAGAGTTTGATTTCCGCTCACGGCCAACACCAATATCGATTATCTGATGCGGTGTGTAAACATCACCACTGGGGAGACAAAGGCGGCCGGGTGTGGTGCTGGCCACCCACCCCACCGTGTACCGTGCAAGACTTCATAGGTGCTCGCAAACAGCACTTGCCCCAACAGTATGTTAAGGCTACACGGGGGATCTTTGTCTTTGGTTTGTGAAAAAGGTGGGAAGTCTTAATTGGAGATCAAGAGTCTGGGTATGATAGCAGTGACCACCAAGGCGCTCACCGCGAGTTCACCGCCCAGTGAGTGTCTACGCATGAACTGAACTTCGAAATAAAGGACGCGCGCAAGGAATTCACTGGAGGAGCACGTTATAAGCGGCACTTTCCAGGCGATGTGCTCACTCTCTGTGCATGCTGGGAAGAGGGTGTGTCTACCGATGCTCCTGGAGATAACATTTCCTGGCAATGAGGGCCTAGTTTTATGTATGCATCCTAGCCTCGCCTGACGTTTTTTTGCACTTTCCAGCTACCTCTTTAAATCTCAGAGCACCATCGAGTGCTCATCTTCTATCCTCCACCTCTGTGAGTGCTTCCAACAACATAGCGTGGTGCTGTCTCTCACCTCTGCATCATTTTTACTCTCAACACACTTGTTTACTCGGCAAGCCTGCGGCCTACTCACGGCTCTAGCACCCACTACCCCCCCCCTCCCCTCTGTTACATCCCTCCTATTCTTCTGCTTTACTGCAAACATTAAAATCGCTCCACTTTCTCACTTCTCTCCTGCTCCTTTTATCACCTTCTACTTTCAGCACTGCTGCTTCCCTGCCCTCGCAGCACCCATCTCGCCGTGGGACACTCGTGAAAATACCTTTTCATTGCCCCCCCCCCTCTCTCCTGAGGCCTCCCTGTGCCCCCCCCCACCACACTTTTATTTTCCATCCACCTCTTTCTTGTCTTGTTCTCTCCTTTCATTTGTGCAGCTAATGTCAATATTAAGGTAGTTTATTTATTCTTTATTTACTTACAATGCCACACCACGCCAGAGGATCATATCTCTCGAACCGCCCAACATGGACTGTTCTGCTTTCCGCCACCTGAGATAAAGGTGGACAGTGTGTGGGGAAGCGGAACGTCATCGCCGTGACTCCCATGATCCGTGGCTACGTGGTCCTCTTCACCAACGCGGAGATGGTGGCGCGTGTCAATGCCACGGGGCTCACCTTCAGGGGGGAGATATTTGTGCAATGCACACCTCTCTCCTCCCCCGCGCGAAAAGTGCTCATCTCCAACGCCCCCACCTTTCCTCTAAACTGCCGACCTACAACGAGACCTTGACCGGTTCGGCAAAGTTGTGTCCCGCATAATTATGCTGTCTTTGCGCACACGGGACCCAGAAATGGTGTACGTCTTGTTGTTTAAGCGACAAACTTTAATGATTTTAAACGGCAACAACACGGAACTCAACGTGAACTTCAAGTACACTTCATAAGGATACGCCTACACCGTGTACATGTCCACCGCGTTGCCACGCTGCTATGTGTGTGGTGGCTTCGGCCATGTCCATGCAAACTGCACGGGAAAACCAATAGGAAAAAACACGCAGCCTGCAATAAACGTCACACAGCAGCAACAGCAGCACCAGCAGCGCCAGCAGCAGCAGCCGCCACAGTCTAAGCCGTGCCGGCAGAAGCAGCAGCTGCAGCCGCCGCAGCCTGCGCAGCGGCAGCAGTAGCTGCAACAGCAGGAGCAGCAGCAGCAGCCACAGCCACCTCAGCCTCTGCAGCAGCAGCCACCACTGCACGAGTGCCAGCTAGTTGCAGCAGCAGGACGCTGACTCGGCGGCCGGTCGCACAAAGCCGCCCACTGATGACGAGGATGGCGAGGGCTTCACCCTCGTCACCTCCCGCAAGCGCAGGGTAAAGCCCGCCCACGGCGGAGGAGGCCGCGCGGCCCCTAACCGTAAGCGCGTGGCCACCACCGATCACGAACCCTACCCAAAACTCGCAGAGCAGGACGAGCAACCCCCCCCCCCCCCCCACGAGCGCCATCCCAGACGGTGTTGCGGGGGGTGAATATGAAGACATGCTCGATGGCGACCCGCCTGAGGACAGCACGGTGGGACAAGGGCCGCTAACACCCCCGCCGCCACCGCCGAACGCCGCCTCAGCATCCTCAGAGCAAGAGGAACCACCAGCCGGTGCGGCGCCTGACGGCGCCACACTGCAGGAAGGCAACGAGGGCCGGCTCCCCTCACCTGAAGGGAGAACAAAAGACCCTCCACTACCAGAGGGCAGCCACCCTCTTCCTAATGAGGCCTTGCCATCACCAACGGCAAACGAGGTTTGACGAGCTGGAGAACTCGGACGACGTAGTGTCGGAGACCAAAGGAGAAGACAACGTGAGTAAACTCAGCTACTCACAAGTCAACAGCGAGTTCGATTACACACCTGGCGACATCCACAACTTCCTCGGGAATACTTTCAGGAATCGTCAAGTTAGGGTCGGGGCCATTTTCCCTGATCTCACCGCTTTCCTCAAATAATCCCAACAAAGTTTCCGCAACAGCGACAAGTTGGGTTTCTCGACTCAGGAATGCTACCGCTTAAAAGCATTCATGTGCAAGGCAAAGAAGGAGCTTACTTCTGCCCAGAAGTAACCAAACCCTACTGTTAACACTACCACCACTACACAACTCCATGATGGCTTCAACTATTAAGGTTGCTAGTCTGAACTTTAACAGCACTCGCAGTGACTATAGGTGGGACCAGATCTGCCGCTTTGTCAGGGAACACAAAGCAGATGTGACTCTCCAGGAAACTCACATCGACGCCACTCTGGAGGCCCAATGCCAGCCTTTCCTAGGCGGCCGTCGGGCCTTCTTCAGCCATGCTGAGGACAACCTCGCCGGCGTGACAATTGTGCTCAGTTCGCGGATTGCACCAGAGAATGTCTCCTTCAAAAAAATCGTCAAAGATCACTTGATTTCTCTCTAATTCGTCCTGAATAAATCCTGCCTCAGGTGCTTTAACGTGTATGCACCGAGCAAGGCCCCCGAGAGGAAGCTCTTCTTTGGCGTGCTGCGGGACGCACTCGCAACAGACGACATGGACGACGTGCTCACCATCATGGGGGGAGACTTTAACTGCACCCTCGACCCAGCTCTCGACCGCAACACTGCCGAACCTCACCCTGAATCCGCACGGCCGCTAGCCGAACTTGTGCAGAGACTGGATCTGCGTGACGTGTGGCAACTACAGCATCCAGCCCAGCGGCATTACTCTTGGTGCCGCTGCAGCTCTCAAGGCAGGATAAGCCTTGCCAGGCTCGACCGACTATACGTCAATGCCACCAGCGTTAACCTGCTCGGGAACAGTAAAATCCTACCCTCCAGTTTTTCCGATCACCACCTGGTCTCTGTGCTGCTGCAATTTCCCAGAGCGGAGCAGTATAGCGCCTACTGGAGACTCAACGTATAGCTGCTTGATGACACCGACTTCAGAGAAACCTTCAAAGCCTTTTGGGCTCAGTGGCTGCCTGCCAAAGGAAGCTTCAGCTCCCACCAACTATGGTGGGGCAACACAAAGGCACAGGTCAGGGTTCTCTGTCAACAGTGTCAAGACAATGCTGGGTCAGCTGATCCTGCTGGAACAGTCGTATTGCATCCCCGGACGGTGCATATACGACAACATCGGTACGGTCA